CCCTGGCGGATTGACCACCGTTTGTGGGGATGGGCCGTGTTGGCAGCGGTGAGCGGAGGTAGATGGGGTGCCCAGGGGTCTCGGGGTGTCTCCCTGGGCGGCGTGTGTGCGTGGCCGGCAGGAGAGGCCTCTCTGGAGTGGTGCTGCGCGGGCCGGGGCCTCGGCCCCGGGAGACTCCCGCACTCCGGACCGGGGCTGGAGGGGCTGACGCTGAAGCGTCCGGGTTTGAGCTCCGCTCAGGGACCGAAGGGAAGAATAAAGAGGGAGTCCTTTCCAAGGGGGATCCCTCACTCAGGGGATCCCCATTTCCGTGGCGGAAAAGGATGGTCCCGCCTCACCCTTTCTTTCCTGCTGCTCCCAGTTTTCAGGGGTAGCAGTGCCAATAGCAGTCTCCTTTGTAGGCTTTATTGGAGGAGAGATTTGCATCCTTGTAGGGGGAGGGTGCGAGGGGGGGCTTTCACCTCCATCTGTACACAAACTGCCCCTCCCCCAGCCTCCCGCAGGATGTGGCCGGGAAATGGCAGCTGTGCGTTTGCTGCTGCGTCTCTTGTTTTGAAATGTCCATTTTAATCAGATTTGGTTTCATTTTCTGAGGCCTTCTGGGCAAGCTTGGATCCTGCCAACCATGTGGTGTGAGAGTCCTTTCGTTCGACTTTTTTTTTTTTTTTAACTTAATTTGTCAACTGGGAAGTAAGTAGTCACTGCAGTTGATCCCCTGATCCCAATACCCCCTCCAGAGCATCTCTGTCTCCCTGTTTTGATTTTTTCTCCTTGAGCTGGAGGTCATAGAGGAGCAAACTCAGTCTTCCACCAGCAGGGCTACACTATGAACACGAGTGATGCAAATTCCCTCAGCACAGAGAGCTGCCAGGAGCACCTCGGGTCTTTGTGGCATGAGAGGAGTGGCTTTTTTGAATTCTGCCTGATGTATTCTTAAGCATGATAATTTATGTATTGCAGAGCACCTGAGTAAGTGAGCTTCTGAGGTGAAGGGTAGATTCTGAGAGGGAGAAAAAGAGGAGGGAATGGGGAAGATCTGTGAGTGGGATTTGTGTGTTGGGATAGAGACTGATTTGCAAAGAGAGGATGGTGGCCTTATTCCTCACTGGTGATTCTAGCCCAAGGATAGTCTCTGTGGGAAGCTTGTTGGTTGACAGGGTGTTGGAGAGTTTACCTTTTTAAAAAAATATATATATTTTGTTGATTTTTTACAGAGAGGAAGGGAGAGGGATAGAGAGTTAGAAACATCGATGAGAGAGAAACACCGATCAGCTGCCTCGTGCACACTCCCCATTGGGGACGTGCCCGCAACCAAGGTACATGCCCTTGACCGGAATCGAACCCGGGACCTTTGAGTCCGCAGGCCGACGCTCTATCCGCTGAGCCAAACCAGTCAGGGCTGGAGAGTTTACCTTTTGCAGAATCAACTAATTAGGGGAGTTAGCTGTCGTATGACTTACTCTTCAGTTCATAAAAGACATCTTCTCTGTTCTTACCCTTGTTGGAGAGTGGTAAGCTTTTCCTCTGTTTTTGTGCAGTCATGTGTGCAGATTTTCTCTTTCTCCCACCTGATAACTCCAGGAGATTTCTACTGTATAGCATAGTGATGGACTGTGTACTGTGTCCATAGGCACTTTGTTAGACACTGGGTTTGGTTAGAGATGAGTTGGCCACAGGATTTTATATTTTGAGAGATGAGGTGTTGATTGAGATCATTTGGACTACACTGAAAACTGCTTAAGCTTGGCACTTAATAGACTTTTCATTATATTCCAGTCACAAACTTCCCACCTGAATTGTAGATTCCTAGAATAAAGGTCCAGGATATGAACAGATAGGCATATGATTATGTGATAGCAGCATCATCACTTTTAAGATAGCATCATGCTTTTTTCACTGGGGCTGTTGAGGTTGCAACAGTAAAAACAAGTCCCATGTCATTGTCCTTTTTCTTGCCTCTCTGCTTACTGGTTGGTTTGAGTTGCTTTCTGATAGGTTGATTTGACACTGACTTTAAGTTCCCCTTTCTTCAACCTTTGTTTATCTAAATTGGGACCTGACAGAATAGTACATTAATTTTCCCTGTTGGGGGGTTAAAAGAGTGAGGGAGAAAGACCACTTCTTTCTTTGGACTCTAAAAGAAATAGTTGATTTTGAGAAAGTAGATACTGAGTTCATTTGATACGTGATTGATCAGAAAGCTGAATGAAACAAACTTTTCATGACCCTCTTGTAAAATGGATGCATTTTTCTGTCAGAAATATATTTCTTAATATTGACATTCTCTCCCCCCTCCGCCCTTTTCTCTCTCTAAAGGAAAAAAATTGAGGTATAGATAGAACTATGTGGGCTGACCTCAGAGCCAGTCAGAAATCTAGAATGCCCTGAGAGGTTCATCTTGGAGTCTTGTGATTCTGGAATCAGGTGTTGCCAAGAGAGAAGAAAAGCTTGTTAGGGTTACTCTGTCTTGCTGCTGTCGACCTTTTTCATCACCTCACCTCTGAAGTGGTCTGCTATATTCTTTTACTGTTAGCATAGTGTGGAAGTTACTCTAATAACTGATGTAATGTTTGACTTTGTGAGATGTGTTCAGTATTCAAAGTTTTTATGTCCTAGACCAGTGATGGCGAACCTATGACACGCGTGTCAGAGGTGACATGCGAACTCATTTTTTTGGTTGATTTTTCTTTGTTAAATGGCATTTAAATATATAAAATAAATATCAAAAATATAAGTCTTTGTTTTACTATGGTTGCAAATATCAAAAAATTTCTATATGTGACACGGCACCAGAGTTAAGTTAGGGTTTTCCAAAATGCTGACA